GGCTCACCTTCGGCTGGGCACAGCTTCCAGGCAAGCGACTCCCAGCACCCGCGGTTTCAAGCAACTCCCGGAGCCCTTCTGCGTATTCCTCGCACAAATTCCCACTTACATTTACTCCCTCACCCGCGGGGAAAGCCGTGGACACACACAAAGCCGCGTACACACATATCCCGATGTGTGTTCTACAGCGCACAGAGCGGCATAATTCCTAAGTTAATACACATATACCAGGGGGGTGTGTGCCCATGGTTTTTTTCTGATTGAAAAAGCTTGGAGACCGGTGGCTTATTCTGCTTTTTTCCCCCAAAATCCGCCAATAAACGAGCTGCTAATTTCACACATTCCTTACTAGAGGCTGCGCAGCCCTCGGTTGCAACTCCCTTGGGGTTGGTGCATGTGCGCAAGCGACACGAAGACCTTTAGCAACACGGAATCCTTGAGCTCCCTCCGATTTCTGTGCGAAAAAACTGCTTTTCTGGGTCCTCCCGGGCTTCTCCCGGTGCTGGAGCTGCCCTCAGCGCTCCCAGGAAGCACATTCCTGCCTGTGTAAACAGATTAACCTCTCGCCAAACCCGCAATTATAAAGGAATTTTTAAAGCAAGGGCAGGCACGCATTTCTTTCGCTCAAGGTGCAGCCCTGCCGGCAAAACTTCAAACTCCTCCAAGCTCCCGGTTCCCTGCCAGGATGCTCCAAGCTCCTTCAGCACCGGCAACATTTCCACAGGCTCCGGTTTTTTTCCCTCCCTCACACTTTCATTTACTGGGAGATGCTACTCACTGCCCTGAACGGGAATATCTCATTTAATTTCCTCTCCTAACGTTACTCCAACAGAAAACGAGGGATGTTTTCTAAAAGGCCATTCTTGGTGAGGCAAAAAAAAGCAACTAACCCAAACAATCCCATTTTTTCCCATCTCCTCTCGTTCTTTAAAAAGCAACCCCTAAAAAAGCACAAAGGCCTTTTTCTTCTTTACCCTAAAATCCATCTAAATTTAGCGGAGCCTTTCATTAGGAGGGACCAGCAGGGGAAGTATGCGAAGAATTTGTGCTGATTGCCTGAAGGTCACCAGCCAAGAGAGGGTGTCTCCAGGCTTCCATTTAAGATCTTGTTTTGATCCATTAGGCCTGGAAGGGAAGGTCAAGCTATATTTTATAGATAACCTTAATCTCATAAGGGCTCCCTTTCTTACCGCCATCAAGCCTCCTTATTATAAACATCATTATCGCTTAGTAAAAAAATGCAATTATTTACGCGCATGGCACCAACCAACGACAAATGTCAAACCAAGCAGTTGGGACTTTTTACCCCTACTGGGCAAACTGGACCATCCTTCTGCCCGCTAGACGTAACGGATCATAGAATCATAGAATCATAGAATCATAGAATCATAGAATCATAGAATCATAGAATCATAGAATCATAGAATCATAGAATCATAGAATCATAGAATCATAGAATCATAGAATCATAGAATCATAGAATCATAGAATCATAGAATCATAGAACAATTCAGGTTGGAAAAGCCCCTTGGGATCATTGAGTCCAACCATTGACCCTACACTACAAGGTCACCCCTAAACCACATCACCCAACACCACATCTAAGCGACACTTGAACCCATCCAGGGATGGCGACTCAACCCCCTCCCTGGGCAGTCTGTTCCAGGGTCTGACCATTCTTTCCGTGAAGAATTTCTTCCTAATGTCCAGCCTAAACCTGCCCTGTTGCAACTTGAAACCATTCCCCCTGGTTCTGTCCCTAATTCCCTGTGAGAAGAGACCAGCACCAACCTCTCTACAATAATCAATAACAGCAAGAAAAAATCAAGGTGACACCAAAATCTGTCCTTAAAACGGGGCTGACATCTCTAAACCAGCGCCTCCAGCAAGCCTGTCGCGTAAAGTCACGCGTATTTTACAATCATTTGGGGTATTTCTGCACCTCAGGCCTTTAAGAATGAATTTCCTTCCGGCTGCAAACAAGATTGCCGTGATTTTTTCCTTTAAGTGCCTTTTTTTTTCAAGCCCAAGCTCCCCCAAAGGGCAGTTTTGCCCTCTCCTCCGTGACTCACCGACCTGCTATTCCTTCCCTGACACTCCCAGGCTGAACCAGCCCCGGAATATTTCTCAGTGACAACAGCGATACTATTGCACAAAAAAAAAAAAAAGGCTTCGGCTAAGGAGCAGCGTCGGTTGCTCAAGCGCAATTAAAATTACAAAATAATTACAATTTCAGATGCCGCCCCGACCTCACCCAGCTCCTCCCCCGTCCCACGCGGTATAAATAATTGCCCCTCGAAGAGCGAGATGGCCTGAGGGTTTCCTCGCGGCTGCTTTTCTGAAAAAATTGTGCGTCGGGACGGACGTCGCTCGGAGAAGCGGGAGCATCCTTACCAGGACCGTGTGCATCCCCGTGTAGAGCCGGCTCAGACACACCAGCGTTGAAACCACAAACGCTGCCGCCAGGCCTAGTTCAAATGGATACTGGAAAAAAAGAAATAATGCACCTGTTAAGCCGTTATTCACTTTAACATTGGTATATCCGAAAAAAAATTCACTGATGTCGTGTATCTGAAATAAAACATCCGGACCGAGTTCAGGAAGCGGCTCCTGAGCTGTGTTCTCCCAAGGAGATGAACTCAACCCAAGAGGAGACCTCGCACCGGCCAACGTGCAAAACTGCCCTGAGGTCCTGGGGTGATAGAACAGAAAGAAACCAACCCAAACTGTAAATTAATTCGACATAGAGCCTCCGTCTACCGCCCACAGGCTGACGACTGCCCAGGTCAGCGCAAAAATGCTTCTGTGGAAACGTGAAGCGCGACCACTCGCTTCCGACCCCTCTTCCTCCCGAACAGAGAGCTCGGACCTGGCTGCAGATGTCACTCGCAGTTCATAAAATGTTATTTTTCCTCTTGCTTCTCGAAGCCTTTGGAGGATTTACGGCCATTTATTGCCCCGCAGCAGGCAGCCCGGGCGCTAATCCCGATGGGTACCTGATGACTGCAGCAGCTTAAGAACACAGCAGCGCCGTGTACCGGTAGATTATTTATTTTTCCTTCTTCTTAAGGAAGCAATTAAACCATTTAATCATTTTACAGCTGATTGTTTCACGGCAGTTTCCAAGCAGCACGAGGCAGCCCGTGAAGAGCTGAGACCCGCCGGGCGCTTCTCGCTCGAGGAGGAGCAAGCGCTGCTGGTCAGAGCTTCTTGGCAGCTCTGGGACAGATCCGGGCTCCAGGGCTGACAAACACCCGTTAGGAAGGACGAGAAACGATGCAGCCAGGAGGTTATTATTGCTGGAGTACAGGAAACACGTGTCTGGAGTCGTAAAAATTATTGCTAGGGTACACGTTTGGATTCATAAAAGGAAAACGGAAATAATCAACATGCAGAAATGAATTTTCTGGGTTTTCCCTTTTTTTTTTACCCCCCCATTTCTCCTTTTTTTTTTCCCCTCCTCATTTTTTCTTTTTTTCCCCCTACCTCGTACTGGTCGGCGGTGGCGCTGAGGAAGGAGAAGGAGATGGCGGTGGCC